AAGAAAAAAAAACAATAGTATAATTTCAATAAGTTTTGCAAAGAAAAACAGCGATAAGGCGGGAGACATGGTTCAAATGAAGCCAATTTGTCTTTGATATGACTGGCTCAAAGCCAGCCAGCCAGTAATAAAAAAAAATGTCTCCAAAACGCGGTGTTAGCTTGTGGGGATAAACCCCACTTACAAGACGTGAGCAAAAGATGTGAAAAAAAATTGAACATTTTTAAAGGGCTTGATGTGGGATTGGATTAAGTGAATTTAGTGAATCCACAGTTTTTTCACGTCTATGTAAGAAGACCAGACTTTGGCGTCAGATTTTTGATTTTGATTTTTCATGAACTAATTGTTTTTATGTTGCTGTTGTTTTTTTTTTTAATCTTAGCATACGCCTGCCTTTAATACGGATATAAAATCGTTACTGTCCATAATTTATAAAATAGATAAATAAATTGAAATAATTCCAATGCAGGAATGCATTCAATTTTTCCTAAAATATCGAACGGAAATTTAAAAGAAAATTGAAAATTAATATATTTTGTAAATGCAGAAACTCTATTTAAAGTCCAAAAATGGGCAATTTTTTCAATTTTTTCAGTTTACAAGTTTTCACGGTAGTAAAACAATGCAATGTTTTAATTATTTCTTTTTTGGTTTTTTTTAGATAGTTAAAGTTTTATTAAGAAAAATAGACTAAGAATTAAAAGTATGATAACATTTATTTCAGTTTTTAAAAGTGAAATTAATTTTATCGGACACTTAATTTTTTGCTAATAATAACTTCAACTACGTACAACAAAATAATTTTAAAAAGACATTGTATTTTTTTATTGTTAATTGTGTTATTGTTAATGTAGCATTTAATTTATGACTCCTAACTTGTTAGAATTGAAATAAATATTAAAAATCTGATAAATTATGAATTAAAAGATAAGGTTACTGGGTGGAGTGAGGTGGGTTGTTAAATCACGTCTTGATAAATTAACACTCTAGATATGTCAGAGTCGAAAATAATGTAGCGAAATCCAAAGTTTAGATTTGTTGAAGTATACATAGCGTAACATTGAACAAAAAAAATATTTTAAAAAATTTTTCATTTTTTTTTACACTACGAAAACTTCTTAAAGGGACCGAATGGATAAAGTTAAAATAATTTTTGTGGAACTTCAATATACGGTGCTAAATTATATTGAATGGGCCGTAAAAAGGGGCAATATTAAAGTTGAAAAAATTCAATAAAAATTATTCTTATAAAATAATGGCTATATAATTGTAACGCATAAAATATTTATGAAGAATTCTTTAACTATATTTTAATGTAAAATTTAGACAATGCCTACATAAAACTGTTAATTCATTTCTTTGATTTAGCAGAACTTCATTTTTAGGAAACTATATAATATTCGGCTTTTCTTGTAAACACAGGGGGCATGGGTCATATAAGGATTTACAGATTCTCGTTTTTTGAGTATTTTCCATTTTACCTTAAGAGTTTTACTAATTTCATTTAAATGCCAAAAATATTTAGAAAGGGTGTTCGGTCACAGTAGGAATTGTTGCCGAAAGAAGATATGTGCTGGCACTACTTCAGCTAATGCAAAGAGTTAGCTAATGTAAAGAGTTAGCTTTGGATTTCGCCGCCAAGTACTCTGATCTATCAAAAGAGGAACTGGATATTATCATGAACGCTAGAAAATCTGTTCTTATCAGAAACAAAGAAAAATAATTCAGGTGACCAATTTGACATTGCAATCGGATGGTTAGACTCTGCTGAGTCTTCCGACCTCATTGGCTTATTCGTTTTATATAAGCTTACTGCCCACCATGACATCAACATAGAGGATATAGGGTTATATAGGGAAGATGACCTTACGTGGTGAAAAATTGTACGAATTTCAAAACTGACAAAATCTGAAAATTAATCCATAGGGAGTTTAGAAATCTAAACCTGAAAGTTAAAATCAACACAAACTTAACAAAAGTAAGCTTCCTCGATGTAATACTAGACTTAGTCAATAACATATACCAACCGTACATGAAAACTAATGCAAATCCCTTATATATCCAATCAAAATCTAAATCACCCTCCATCTGTAATCAAGCACATACACCCCTCCATAGAATATAGAATTGGTAATAACTCTTCTACTGAAGATGTATTTTATAAACATAGCAATCTTTACAACAATGGCTTTAAAATGGTGACTATAAATGTCCTGACATTAAATACAGAAAACAATAGTGATAGCAGGAAAAAATAGAAATAGAAAAATCATTTGGCATGTACCCCGCTTGAAGCAAATGGTTACCACTAAGTTAGGGCAGAAGTTTTCTCATTTTAATTTAGAAACATGTCTCCAGTAATAATCCTCTAAGCAAGATTTTTAATAAAAATACACTTAAATTGAGTTACAACTGTACAGATAATCTAGAAAAAATTATTAAAAAGCATAATAATAAAATTTTAAATCTATATTTAAACCAAAGTAACAATCGTTACTCAAAAACAGAAAACAATCGTGTAATTGTAGAAATCCTAATGAATGTCCATTATAGAATAGGTGTCTTACTGAATCTATTGTTTACTAATATACCATTTCATCTAGTGAAAATCCAACAGTTAAGAAATTTTATATTGGTAGTACAAAAAACCCCTTTAAACTGAGGTGGTATCAACACATATCTTCTTTCAACGACAATGCCTACAGTAATTTCCTGAGATGTTCTTAAGGAGAGAGAGAGAGAGACATATAGGGAGAGACACGGGAGAGGGAGAAAGAGGAAGTAAGAGAGGGAAAGACAAAAAAGGTTAAGTAGTTAGCTTTCCCTCTCTTAGTTTGTCTTTCTCCCCTCCCTCTCTCTCTCTCTCTCTCTCTCTCTCATATATATATATATATATATATATATATATATATATATATATATATATATATATTCCCTTGACTAAATCTCTACCTTCCCTTTTATTTTTGAAACTCTCTTCATTTTCATTATCTTCTATCCCCTTTTTTTTCCCTTTCTATTTTCTTTTTTTCTTTTTCTTTTTTGTTTTTTTTTTTTTTGTTTGTTTGTTTGTTTGTTTCTGGATAAATTTTAAATAAATTTATTGTTGCAAAATATTTTGGTCTGTGTGTATTGATATAATAGGAAACAACTGTTAGATTAATGATCCGAAATTTAAAAAAAACAAAAAAACAGTGCTCGATGCAGAAGTAGAGCCTAGATTATAATTCTTTTTTTTTTAAAAAATATGATTCCATCCCGACACAGAAATTACTATGTTTCGAAACTGGTCAGCAGTATTTAAGTTTAATTTCAATATTAAACCTTAACTATTGGGTTGGCAGTTTCATCCTCAAGTGATGGTATATTATTGAATGAGCCTTTGTGTAGTCTCCACCTTATTTTAAATTCATTTTTTTGGATCCTATATATATCTTTGCAATATTTGGATTATCAATGGATGAGATTGTGCATTAGTACACCACAGATTTTTTTTTGTTTTTGTTTAAACGTATATCAATTTTTTTTCCCCATAAGCCGTTAAGGACTTTGTTGCTATACACATTCTTGACTTTATTTATTTTGGATTTTAACTATCTTATTTAAAGAGCTTTAATGACTTTTAGTTTTTGCTTTTTATTGTTTTTATGTAATATAGATATATTTTCAACTAATACCACTTAATTTGTGAGGGTGGGCATGAGTGTTCATTTAAGTGCTGATATATTCAGCTATGTTGAGACAAATTAAATATAAGTCTTTTTGGTAGGATCGTCTTAGTAAAGCTAATGTACATATTGACAGTTTTATCAGAGATACAATCTCCTAAAGGACATTTAAATTGATATACAATGTTGGACTTTTGCAAGGTGCTAGTTGCTGAAGGTGAGTTGTTTTGGACAACCAGGTTGGTTGTATTAAATTTAGTATAGTATATGATTAATTTTATTTTTTTTACTTGGATCGGCGGGGGATATATTTGTGTTTATGAGTTTTTTGAGAATATTTTTGTTTATAGTTGGAATGCATTTGATTACGGTATAGGAATTTTGTATGTTTAGAGTCATTTGATGATATATTCATTTATTCAATATTTCTAATAGCTTGTCTAATTTCTTCATCAACAATGTAATTAGGGAATTCATTATTAATGAGGGTTTTTTAATGATTTTTTAATTCAATTTTCTAAGTCTATCAAAAAATTACTCAGCGAACATGAAAGGATCACAACGAAAACTAATCGACATGATATGTGTAAATTATTTCACCAAATCTGTTTGAAATATATATATATATATATATATATATATATATATATTCCACTCTCCCGTCTAATTCGACGTATGAGGGTCAAGCAGATCAGTTTCCAGGAAACCGACAGCCCGACAACAGCACATGAGATTTGATTATAGTGGTGAAGGTTTTGTGCAGGACCATCCACACTTTTTGAATGGCCGATTACAGAGACCTGGTGCACTAAGTGCCACAAGGTCCCCAAATGACCCTCCGCAGGTTTTGAATTCAGAGTTGTCCTTCTCCTAGACCAGGTACCATCCAAGGCTATAGAACCCAGTCTGTCCTGGTATTTTACCCATAGCTGGAGGGAGAAGAAGAGGATTCACACCTTTCCCAAGGGTATTAGCACGTAAGTGAATGTAATGGATTCGACTGGAATTCGAACTCGACTCTCCGATTCCTCAATCCAAGCCGCTATCCATTACTCCACCGTGCCTCCTCTCTCTCTCTCTCTCTCTCTCTCTCTCTCTCTCTCTATCTATCTATCTATCTATATATATATATATATATATATATATTTATGAGAAGGGATACTAAATAGTTCTTCGTCCTAGCCGCTTCCCAAAATAGTTATTCTGATGTCTTTAGTCATTAAAATACTGAAAGTATCAACGCATATGTTAGGCAATCAGTAGACCTAGCATAGATATAAATGCCATATGGCTACATTTAATTAACGAAGGAATGATACGTAAAATTTCGACATAAGAAAGAAAGAAAGAAAGAAAGAAAGAAAGAAAGAAAGAAAGAAAGAAAGAAATAATAGATAGATATGAATAGACTAGCAAAAATGACTTTTGGGCAGGAGAGTGTATATAGAGAAAGAATGAAAGAACAGATGGAATGAAGATTCTGATGTACATGTCGATATGAATAGACTGGTAAAAGATAAACCAATAGAAATGGATAGGCTAAGAAAAAAAGAAAGAAAGAAAGAAAGAAAGAAAGAAAGAAAGAAGAGGGCAATAGACACATAGACTGAGATAGATAGATAGATAGATAGATAGATAGATCGATATGAACAGACTAAGAGACAGACAGAAAGATAGACAGATAGATATGAACAGATTGAAATAAATAGACAGATAAGAATAGACAAAGATAGATAGATAGACAGATAGATAGATAGATATGAAAAAACTAAGATAGATAGATAGATAGATAGATAGATAGATAGACAGACAGACAGATAGATAGATATGAACAAACTAAGATAGATAGATAGATAGATAGATAGATAGATAGATAGATTGACAGACAGACAGATAGATAGATATGAACAAACTAAGATAGATAGATAGATAGATAGACAGACAGACAGATAGATAGATATGAACAAACTAAGATAGATAGATAGATAGATAGATAGATAGATAGATAGATAGATAGTGAACAGACTGAGATAGATAGATAGATAGATAGATAGATAGATAGATAGATAGATAGATAGATAGATAGATAAGAAAAGTGTGATAGATAGATAGATAGATAGATAGATAGATAGATAGATAAGAAAAGTGTGATAGATAGATAGATAGATAGATAGATAGATAGATAGATAAATACGAACCGATTGGGATCAATAGATAGATAGATAGATAGATAGATAGATAGATAAGTACCCAGTGGTTGGCGTCCACCTATTACATTTATGTGCATTATGTATTTGACACTGGAGTTCCGTCTAAAATCAACTTAAAACTTTAATTGGCCCGATACACGCTTTGCTTTCAATCATTATCTCTGCTTGTCATGACTAATTCATCCAGAATCCAACCCCTCCACACCACTCCCCACGCCCCCCCCCTTGCACACACACATTGGCTTGCCACTGCATTGGCGATCGTATCTGTTTGATATTTGCCATAAGCATTTGTTGGACGAGGCCGACAACCGTCCCCGACTCTCCAAATGCCGGATGACACGAACGATAATCATGCGGACATCTTCATAATATATGAATTTCTATTCAGACCGCGCGGAATCAACTTACATTCTTATTTCATTGCCATTCGATAAGTGCCTTTTTATTCAATCCTTTGTGAATTGATGAATTATAAACTCGCAAAATCGATATTATTATTGTATTGTGCTACATTTGCATCCGTCTATTTGGTTTTGTTTCCTTTTCGCAACAGATGAAAGCCTTTAAACAAATATCGACTCTAATTAATTTTATCATATATATATATATATATATATATATATTCTCGGCTCTCCCGTCGAATTCAACATATAAGGGTCAATATATATATATATATATATATATATATATATATATATATATATATATATATATATATATGTATATGTGTGTGTGTGTGTATATATATATATATATATATATATATGAAGAAATATAGTCTTAAGGTGTGCTATATTTATGGGATAAAGTGCTCAATATCAGAGATAGAGCGTGTGTAAATATAAAAGTGAACATAGAAGTCAACACTTAGAGGCGACAGTCTGTTTCATGCTAAATGCAATCGTCCATATAGCATGAAACAGACTGTCGCTTCTAAGTGTTGACTTCTATGTTCACTTTTATATATATATATATATATATATATATTACTTTATTAAAGCTTCGTCAAAGATCAAGATAGTAGAAGCTTTTTGTAATTTTGGTCTACTATTGTATTCAGCCCTATTTTTAAATTAATTTATGAACGTTTGAAATTATATTTGATTCGTTCTCATTTCATATATATATATATATATATATATATATATATATATATATATATATATATATATATATATATATATATATAATATGGAAAAGAAGTAGGAAAGAGATCTTAATCTAACATGTTTCACTTTATTAAAGCTTCGTCAGAAATCAATGAATCGGTGAGCCGAGTTCGAATTCCAGTCAAATCCATTACATTCACTTACATGCTAATACCCTTGGGAAAGGTATGAATCTTCTTCTTCTCCCCCCAGCTATGGGTAAATAGCAGATTCGATAGCCTTGGATGGCAACTGGTCTACCGCAGACAGAAATGGGAACCTACTGCGGGAAAATCTTCCTCATCAGTGTTTCAAAAGATACATAACCGCCTAAGCGTGTATGACGCATGGCACATAACATACAGAGATCAAGATAGAAATAATAAACGAAATTTGCATATATACACACACATACACAGACACCCAAAACACACACATATATATATATATATATATATATATATATATATATATATATATATATATATATGTATGAGTAGAAGATCAAATATAGATCAAGGATGGTGAGGGATCCAACAAAATGAGAGTATAAAGAACAAGACGGAAATAAATCTTAATCTAACACGTTTCAATTTATTAAAGCTTCGTCAGAGATCAAGAGGGTAGAAACTTTTTGTAGGTGAAAATATAAAGCTTTTCTTTTTCTGTCTCTTTGATATGTTTTCCATGTTCAAACAAAATATAGATCGAGTATGGATGGGAATCCGACAAAATTATAGGATAAAGATCAAGTAGGAAACAAATCTAATTCTTACATGTTTCAATTTCTTAAAGCTTCGTCAGAGATCAAGATGGTAGAAGATTTTCGTTCTATATTTTGCTTGAACATGGAAACCATATCAAAGAGACAGAGACAAAATTATATTTCCACCTACAAAATGCTTCTACTATCTTGATTTCTGACGAAGTTTTAATAAAGTGAAACATGTTAGATTAAGATTTATTTCCTACTTGTATTTTTTTCATATTATATATATATATATATATGAAATCAGAACGGATCAAATATACTTTCAAACGTTCATAAAATTAATTTAAAAATAGGGCTGAATACAATAGTAGATCAAAATTCTTTATTATATGATATTACATTAGAATACATGTAAAAACCTACCGCCTGATGAGATTTGATGATATGCATCGAAACATGAGTGCATTTATGTAGCGGTTTTTACACATTTTCTAATGTAATATCATAAAATAAGGTATATATATATATATATATATATATATATATATATATATATATGAAGAAATATAATTTAAGGTGTGCTGTTTTTATGGGATAAAGTGCTCAATATCAGAGATAGAGCGTATGTAAATATAAATATAAAAGTGAACCTTGAAGCCGACCTGACGATTGCGTTCAGCATGAAACAGCCTGTCGCCTCTGAGTGTTGACTTCAATGTTCACTTTTATATATATATATATATATATATATATATATATATATATATATGTATGTATGTTGTGTATATTTAGGCAGCAATTTTTCATTGATGCATGTTTCATTAAATAATAGAGACAAATTTTGTCTATTTATTTTAAGTAAGTTCCTTTCATATTGTCTGATAAACTTAATAACATTATCATTGAAAGACGAAAGGAAATCACCATATTGATACATGTTTAAATCCAATCTAAGTTGAAACCTAACCTGAACAAAATAAACTATGAAATCTACACAAATATTCTTAAATGCCTATAATTGATAACAGAAGCCATTGGTTTATACCAACGGCTTCTCATACTTAATACTTCTCGTTTTCACTCTCGCGTGGTCATGTGTGACGTCACGAGCTGCGTCTCGTATACACGAGTTAATCGTTGCTTTAAAATTTTTCATGTAACAAAAACAGACGAAACAATAATGATAGTCTGTTTTTGTCCGTGTATTGGTTGATATATTGAAAAGTAATTGTCATCTTTGATAATGGCTTATGTAAGCCGAAAGCTTAGATTGGATTCAAACATGTATCATTATGGTGATTTCCTTTCGTCTTTCAGTGATAATGTTATTAAGCTTATCAGACAATATGAAAGGAACTTACTTAAAATAAATAGGCAGAACTTGTCTATATTATTTAATGAAACATCCATCAATATATATATATATATATATATATATATATATATATATATATATATATATATATATATATATATATAGAAAAGGTTACAGAGAGTGAAAGTGAAATAGAATGGAAATGAGAAGATCAAAAATGGAGAGGATCGAGTAAATGACAAACAAAGAGGGTTCAAGAAGACAGAAGATGGCGATTGACGTTGCATTTAATTTTTTGAAGATTGTAGTTGTCAGGGAAGCAAGAAATTGGAAGGGAGAGGAAAAAATCTGTTAGAATAGAGAAGTGGCGTTTGCATCTAAGCTAGTTTAACAGATGACACGCTGTTACCGATCTAGTAGCAGGTTTAAATTCTTCCCTGCAGGTGTCATGGAAATATTTGTGGAAAAAGACAGAGGGAATCCAGGTCACGTCGGTGGGAAAGTGACTGAAGACGAGATGCCAGGTCAAGATCAATTGTATTGCAGACCCTTCTCTGGATTTTGACAAGAATCTCATGATTCACACTAAGAGCACCAGACCAGATGTGGCAACAGTATTCAATCCACGGACAAATGAGGCATCTATAAATATGCATGATCCATTCTGATGAGAAAATCTTTGTAGCACGACACACACACACACACACACATAGACAGAGGGTGCGATGATAAATTATCGCCATTTTATATTTTTAATTTCGCGCATGTGCGTTGCTTGTTTTTTTAAATTTGTCGACTGCAGGCTCACTTGGGCACCGTTTGTGAAAAACCGATCATCATGACTCAATTCACTCAGCCAGAAACAATAGGAAAATTATATATATATATATATATATATATATATATATATATATATATATATATATATAAAGTTAAAAGACAGTAGGAAAACTGTAATTTAAGCCGACGCGTTTCGACCACTGCGGACTATTTCAAAGCAAAAAAATGAAATGAATTTATTTGAACGAAGTATCCATAAATAACAAAAAAAATCTTGTTAGTTACTAAAAGAATTTAGAAATGCACATATACATTCATTGGATCAACTGAAAAATTATGTCATTTACTTTTTATGTTTAGAAGAGAATTTTTCAAAACCATTATGGATCAGGTCTAAAAACACCCATAATAATAATTTTTCAGAAGCATGTATATATATTTGTCGCCATTTTATAATTCTTACTTCACGCATGCGCGTTGTTTGTTTTTGATTTTGTCAACTGAACAGCGTAGTAGGGTCAGTTGGGCACTGTATGTGAGAAAAAAACGCACCACGATGCAATCCACTCCACCAGAAATTTGAAAACATCATGCAGTACTGCTTGACATTTACACCGGAAACTATATAGGAACATTTCAGAGTGTTTTGGTGTCAATCTGAGGACAGAACAGAGAATCCGGAAAGAGTTGGATTAGTGTAATGTTGATTATGAAGGTGGTTAGAGTGATTACGACGTTATGCCTCCATTCATCTTCCCACAAGGCTCAACACAGATGCCTATATCAAGTGCCTTGAGGAGGTAGTGCTGTCCTTGGTCAAGATAGTGGCTGCTGGAAGATGCTATGTCTGGAAACGGAACTCTGTACCATGTCACACAAGCAGGAGAACCCAGTCATGGCTGTCAGACAATTTCTGCGACTACATCACCCCTTGCGTCTGGCTTCCTAAGTCCTCAGACTGCAACCCTCTTGATTATTATGTGGGTGCCACAGTTGGGCAAGAGACAGACTAAACTTCTTGTAACATCAGGAGTCATTTAATTACTGAGGCGCTAACAAGTCAGTTTTTGTTTATTTTGTTTTTAGATACGTGTATAATATATTTGTGTTCAAAATATTACGAGAGTCTGTGAAAAAGTAATGTTTATTATTATTTTTACTTCTTGATTTAATCGTAGGAACACACAAATTTTCATCTCAAAATGAACAGAAAAGTCACAGGATTCCATATCTAGTTCATAATATAGTATCCTCCATTCGTAATCGCGGTATGAGGGTCGAAAAAAAAAGCATGGCCGTCTTTAGTTAGAATAGAGTTAATAGTAGAAACACAAAAAGTGGATAAAAATGAACCCTCAAATCATCGGGTCCCCCATCAAGTCTTCTAGATATTTATTATGTAAAAATACATAATTGTGGCACAAGGCCGAAAAAGGGGAGGGATTAAGTCTGGTCATCACTAACTATCTTATACCTAGCTAATCGGATTCACGACCAATTCACTCATTACAATTTACCCATTCACCACAAGACCTCGTCTTTCACCAATCAATCCTCCATGCACCATAATACCACATCCACTCTAGGGGGACCTACAAAACGCGCCCCGTGTCATAATAATTTAATGATTCTAAAATATATATAAAATCTGTGGTGAAAAAATGAGAGGGGAGGAAGATGAACCCAGTAACAAACTGAAATATTAACACAGATCAAATTAAACATAACTGATGTTAGTAGGGTCCGTCCAACCCTCAAAAAGGAGAGGCCGCTGTATTTCTGCCCATGGGACAAAATCAAGAAACTCTCTCACTACGGGTGTGGGAACAGAATAAAAAATCATACGGGCATGGGAAAATATAAAGCTGACCCAGTCGAGATGAAAAAGGGGCGGCCAAAACAAACTACATCGTATTCACCCCTTCGAAATCGAGGTACGTGGGTCTTGTGACAAAAGTAACGCGTGTCCTTTTTTTGGAAGGGATAATTCTTCTTCTTATATGTATCATATCTCTTCAGGATGCTATCCTCGGTATGACGATATACTACATTCGGCAGCAAAGTCTCTAATCGGGAGGTTTTGAGGAGTGTGGAACCACCTCTTAATTGCTGTTATTCCCAGGTCTACTCTGACCCGGGGATGATAGAACCTGTTAAGGCCCCGCTATGGGGAGATGGTAAATCCCTAAACAAAAACAAATACTATAAAAATACCACCAATATATTTTAATGTTAAAAAAATCCAGCAATAGTAAAAAAATAAAATAAAATTATCAAAACTTTCAAGAAAATTAAATTCCAGCAATAAATGACCCATAAGGATTTGATATTCTGTTAAACGAATCATCTCACTAATATCACAGTGTTTTTGATATCTTCCATCTGTCCTTTGTCAAAATGGTCCATCCTTTATCCAAGGTAATGTTCACAGGGAAAAAAAGAAAGAATATGAAGAGTCCAATCATTCAATGAAAAATAAGCTTTACGTGTTCGTAACTTTTAGTCGAAAAGCGCCCCGCGCTTCGTCAATAGGAAAAAATGTTCTTCTCTATGACAACGCATGGTCGCATACAACAAGAATAACATAGGAAAAAGATTGGGAACTCGGTTGGTCTGTTCTATCCATTCCACACCAATCGATTACTACCTTTTTCGATTACTGCA